CCGCCTGCCCCCGCCTCGCATCGGCCCTTCCCACCCGCCCGCCGCGCACCCCGCCAACCACCACCTGCCTTTCGAAGCGCCCAATCAGACTCTGCGTAGTGCCCGAGCCGCCCAATCACAGGACGTCCCGCCTTCCGTCCCGCCTCGCTGCCGTCTGTGGCCTGAGGGCTCTTCTTGCCGCTGCCGGGTGCGCTGAGGCGGCTTCCGGTTGTGCGTGTTGGGGTCACCCTTGTCACCGCTGGCCTTACCTGGCTAGGCTTGTCTGTTGGGGACTGGAGTAAGTGCGAGGATGGTTGAGAGGGGAGGCTTTGGCTAAATTAGAGCGGGGCAGCGCTGCTTCTTTCTGTCCCTAAAGGAAAAGAGGGCTCTGAGGGAGCTGTGCCGTGTCATGCCTTGCCTGAGCTCGGGGCTGCCCTCTGGGACCCTGTGATCACTCCCCATCCTTCTTCAGGGCTCAGGGAGGGCTTCTAAAAAGGCTGTTCTGCGTGGGAACATGAGACTCTCCATTGCGACTGTTGTAAGCTCGCTTTTCCTACTGTCTGTGTGTATCCCATCAGTATTTTAAGGACTCCTGGGAGCACTGAGAAACTACAGACTGAAAACAGCGTGTGCTGGTTAAGGGGGCCTCTTCTGCCCTGACTGTCGGTAGCAGCGCAGGTGCAGCAGCCCCTTTTACCCGATAGCAGAGCTGTATCATGCTAACAGTGTTTATTTTCTGCCAAGTGCTATGGGCCTTGCTTCAGGAGGTTTTGCTGGCCTTTTCCAACAGGGCAGCATGATCCTTTTGATCCCTTTCTTTCAGAAGGGGAAAAGCAGTTTTACAGTAAGCAAGGAAATTCTGCTAGCAGTACTAGGTTTATAGTGCTGTTCTTTGCTTGATTAGGAAATGAATGAAGTAGTGCTGAAATGAAGCCTGGTCTGGTGGATGCAGCTGAAGTACAAGAACAGCTTGCAAAAAAGGAATTTGGGGACAGCACCTCATCTTCAGCTTGCTTTACTTTTATACTGGCTAGGTCTTGCCATTCTTGACTGTATATTCTCATCTTCATAGACATAGCAGGAGCAGAAAGAGATTGCTTCAGTAGTCTTTAGTGATACAATGCTATGTTGTGCAGTGTGACTTGCTGCATATTACAATAAAAATATTCCGCTAATTGTCCTGTAACTATGCTGATGTTTATTATGCTAATATGACCTTAAATAATTGCTAGGAGGTGAAAATGCCCTCTTGTGCTTTACTTGATCGTTTATTTAAGCTAGAAATAAAACTTTATAAATTATTCTATGTTCTAATTGGTGTTTAACTTGCTTTATTCATTAGGACTAACACCTTTTAAACTTGCTTTACTAAGTATAAAATCGGATGTGATGTAGTTTTATCAAATACTACTAAAAGTAGCAGGTTAGCGCTCATTCTGCTGATGTGAGGGATGTTGAATTGTTGGCAGAAAGTGGTCATGTAAAAAGGCAGTTAAAATCAGTATGAATCTTATAGATTTTTTTTTTAATTCTCTAAGTTCAGGGAAAGTAAATGCAATCTACTAATATAATATAAAACTACTTTAAAAGTAGACATAATTCTCCCCCCTTTTGCATTTCCTTAGTATTTGCAAGTCTTCATAGAGATGCGTCTGAATTTCCCTCCCCACCACCACCCTGTTCTAACATGTCATATTGGAAAAACAGTGCATAGTTTTGAAGACTGAAATTCAAGAGGTTGTCACTAATGTTTATAAGATTAGCAAAACTTGGTTTGTTAAAGTGAAGATATCTGCCTAAACTCCTTGGAAACATTGTAAAGTTAGGGGTCACTCTCAATGTGCATAATCACAACCTTAAGGATATCAGCATAGTTTATTATCCTGATCTGGAAGATGTTAACCATGGTATTAAAAGCTAGAAACAGAGTCCTAAGTTCTGCATTCCTTAGGTTTTTGAAATGGCATTTATAATCTGTGATTTCCCATTTCACTGACTGACTGATCTTCTGAGTATTCTAAGCTGTTATCACTTGTATAATCTTACAGAGAACACCCATGATTTGAGTAAACAAAGAGCTGTTTGGATTGTAAGTATTTTTCTCCAAAGCCAAACAGAATAATACTGTGTAACAGAACTTAAAACCAAAATGTCTGGTCTTACTCCAATTAGACGGTGAAATGAAGTGCAAAAGTAAATGTTACACATGGTGAGTGACAGAGTGGCTTTAGAGAAATGCACAGATCTGTTCACCCTTCCCTCTTCTGTTAGTACATGTTCTCCTTTGCATGGTCATGCTGCCGCCTTGCGGGTATTATTTGAGTGTTTGCAGCAAATGTGTGTGTTCTGTAGCATTGTAGGAAGCTCTGT